GTCACCGAGCCAAACATTTATCGTGCAGACGCACTTATTCGTGAGAATAGGCGCATCACTATCAAGGAACCTGGAGCAATGCTGTCCATCAGTGTTGGTAGTGTAGAAGACATCGTGAAATACCACCTGTACTATTGCAAGGTGAATGCGCGGTGGGTACCACACACTTTGACGGACGTGAACAAAATGGTGCACATGCAGTTTGAAGATGAAGGTGATGCATTTTTGAAGTCTGTAGTGACCACTGATGAAATGTGGATGCACTACTTCATTTCCAAGTCCCAGCAGTCATCACGCGAGTGGTGGCATACTGGTTCTCCCAAACGCAAGAGAGCGCGGATGAGCCGTTCAGCAGGAAAAGTGATGGCAACGTTCTTCTGGGACTNACTGGTTAAACCATGTATGTCCAGTACAGATTTAAAATCCATAGAGTATCATGATATGTTGGGTTTGTTGCAGTCTGTGTGAGGTAATCTAAATATTGGTTTATTGCAGATAATTATGATCAAACTATAAAATCATCCATTTTAAGTTTTCAACTTCGTAACTCTTGATATCACATGTTCTTGCATATGCATAATTTTATTCTTTTAGAATATACTGTTATATAACTTACATAATCATAATGTGTGTTTCTGGCAAACTAATTATGCAATTGGGTCATACACCAATTATGAGGAGGCCATTATATCTTAAAGACTTTACCGTCATAATGGACATACACAGTTTACATGAAGAGCACAGAATGCTTGCGGTACTCGATGATGTGTAGTGCTGAAAAATATGTAAACGTATGAAAAGGGTAAAATTGTCCCTGTGCTTAACCAATTAAACACTGTGCCATGAAGGCATATGGGGTGGTGGATGTATAGATCCACATTTTCTAGATTTTGGCACTAGCTGGAGGTGAGTGGTCAGCTTCATGCCCTGGCCACTTTACCCCCCCATAGGAAGAGCCCCAAGTACCCATTAGATAGGAGGTTTGGTGGACCCCAGAACCGGTCTGAATGGTGTGGAGTAAAGATAATTCTTGACCCTACTGGGACTTAAACTCTGACCCCTTGTTCATCCAGCCCATAGCCAGTCACTATACCGGCTATGCTATCTGGGCTCATTCCAAAAAACGTGTTAACAAATAAAAACCTGTGAGTTCTGACTGTATAAAATTCTCACATAAGTAGCCACCATACCATGGAATTATGCCAGTAAAATTATTTTTCTTAGATCAGCTCCAGAGAGGGAAGGGACGTTAATTCTCTTCTCATTTTATTTTTGCCCATTTAATTGGAGCACTTGAGGAAAGGGGTGAGATTTAAATAAGCATGAACTGAAATTGTTGTAGAAATTCCCCTTTTTTCAGCTCATATGAATACCAGGAAATAGTTGATTCATACCAGCAAACTTGCCAAAAGTGAAAATTCACACATGTGCTAGTGTTTTGACTTTGAGGCAAAAACTGATTATGAGAATACCAGCAAATATTTTTACAAAGGAAGAGGCACTGGGTAGAGAAGGTGGTTACATATTGTTCTATGAGTTATGTGTAGAACTGCTGTTTAGTAATCTTGTGTGTGTTTGTCACTTGTAATGTAAAGTCTGATAAAGATGTAGACATGATTACACTTTAGCCAGTATTTAATGCTTTTCTTCCAGACTGCAGTCATCAAAGTCTTTACTGAATGTGATCAATAAACATTTTGGCACTTTGGCTTTCTGTCGTCGTTGGCTGGACCGTGCTGGTTGCACAAAATACCAGATGGCTTTGAAGGATCTGTGTGATAAGGGTGTGGTTGATCCTTATCCTCCACTGTGTGATGTGAAAGGAAGTTACACTGCACAGTTTGAGCATACAATTCTTTTAAGACCAACTTGTAAAGAAGTTGTTAGTCGTGGAGAAGATTACTAAAATTGGTCTTTATAATATGTATTTTTTTGTTACTGGGTGTATGTTTGAGACTGGATTAAAAAATATGTTCAATATGTTATTCACAGTAGATTGTACCTCAGGAATTAAATACATAAAAGGTAAAATACAGTTATGGTATCAGGGTTTATGATTGTTGTTAAGCTATGAATGAGACTCCTGTTTTAATTATTTAAATTGTGTTTTATGTGTGTTTAATCAGTTCTCTTTTTATTACATCTTCACTTTTTGTTTTGCATGTTGCAGAACTTTGTAGGCAACTGATCATATAGGTTGTCATCCTTTTGCACAAAACCTGAAAGTCTGGGTAACAGTGTATCTGTATACATATTATTGGTAAGAGGTTAGGATATTTATTGAACAAACATAAGTAGTTTTATAAAATAATCATGACCAAAGTTTTCAGTGAAATACTGTCTGAAATCCAGAGTGCATGTAAAGAGAGATTAAAGAAGTTTCAATGCATTTTATGACAAACATTTTATTGTTTTTATAAACATTCATGAAAATTATATAAGACCGCTTCCTCATTCAATTTTGTCGGTAATGTTGCTTTACAAATTGAAGGTTGACAGCTAAGAGGAAAATTGTTGTAAGAGTGAAACGGTTATATCAAATATGTCATGTGATTCGAATTCACTAATAAATATCATCAAAGAAAGTTTGTATACCCAGTATCAGATATGTGTAATCTATACCATAGGCTGGAACAGCTCAGCAAACTTTTTTTTTTTTTTTCATATCTAAACTTTGAGTTTGCTACTGTTTTGTTGGTCATCTGCTCTAAAAAAGTACTCTTTAGTTAGAATTTAGACTGCTTTGAAAATTACAGCAGAATTGTATAGTGTTTTTTATCAACTGTATAAAATAAATACATCCCATTCTTTTCTTTGTTTGCATTGATGACCAGTAACTACTGTGGTCCCTAATTTTAGAAACAGTTACAGATTTATTTTCACTCAGACCAGATAAGAATGACAGAATTCCCTCAGCTTTCTCTTTCACTCTACCCACCATAACTGTTGCTACCACAAAGTTCCAACAGGCAAACGTATATTCTATAGAGTGTGCTTTTGTTTACTATGGTATCTTGTCTTCTTTAAACTTATCCATCAAATTAAATTGTAATGTGTTTAGAACTGTACTGGTTTCAGAACTTGTTTGTATATGACACAGGATGGTTTATTCTAGAAAGCTGGTAGTTTTACAATTATCTTACTGAATATTAGACTTTTGTTTTCGTCAATCCATAAACTTTGTCTGAGATCTCCCAGAATATGTTCCATAAAAATAATATGTTAGTGCATTTGCAGCTGAGCTTTGTGTAGAATTATATATTCTGGGATATAAGCCTGCATAATCCATTGAAAGTCAGTTTATGTTTTTGATGCACAAGGCATCTTCAGGTTGAAGGGTAAGTCAAGCAAGACACCAGCATGAAACAGACAAATAGCAAGGCATATGGCCTTGAAAGACAACCCCCACTTCCCATTGGCTTTTTGAGAGAACCAAAGCAAACAAATAAGATATAAGAAGAGTGACCATGTTTGGACCTTTCAAGAGCTGGTTCAGATGTGGGGAACAAGGGTGAAAAACGGAGGGTGGAAGAGAAGTTGTGTGCATGGGCTGTAGGCATGTTGTGCATGAAAAGAAGAGCAGACAACAGAGGGAAGGCTAGGATAGGAAGAAAAGGCTAAGGATTGAAGAGTGCCCATAGAGGGCAAGGTTCATACTCTTGTATGTTTCAATTTACAGACTGTCCAAGAGGTTCCAAAATATTTTCCATGAAAATAACATTGGTTAAGCCTGTTTGCAACCCAGCAGGTCACACCTACTCAGTCTGTCCATCTGTCTGCCTATACACAAGAGACTCAAGAACCTCTGAATTAATTTCCATGACATTTGGTGTTGGGGAGTTTAATAAAATTTGTTGAAATGTTTCAGTTTTGGCTAAAATTGGACAAAAATAATTGGCATTTTGCAGGAAGACTTTATATGCATTTGATGTGTATGTCAAGCATAACTCCCTAAATATTCATCAGAGTGAGAAATGTTTTGAAGAGAAGTTGTAGGTCAAAATGAAACACATTTTATGTCCAATACATTTTTTTGCATAAGCTTCGAGGTTATTAACAAAAGGAATGGTATTCATACATTTATGAACTTGTATATCGAACAGTCAACATTGGTCATCCAGACACACCTGAAGATTACTGAAGTGTCGTATTTTTGATGATAAACAAAGCTTCCTCCTGCCTGAATTTATAGGCATACATGTATATAAATATACTACCACAGTCAATGAGTTCGTGGACTGGCCACAAAGCATCGTTGCAGTGCACTACAGCAGATAGGTTGAGGCATGATATGATGCCCTGTTGGTTCATCCCTCGTCACAGCAAGAGGCAGTTGTGTGGAAACAGTGTAAGCAGAACTACGACCTCTATTGTGAACTGCAGTTAAATGCAAGTGGCAGAAATCGAAAATGTAGCAGTTTGAACAACGGGCAAACATCAAGTTCTGCCAAAAACTAGGCAAATCCCCTTGTGAAATGTTTGATGTAGGAATTCGCTGTTACTACACAACAATGCCCCTGGACATTGCTCTGTTCTTGTCCAAGAGAAACTGGCAAGGCAACAGGTCATAATTTTGCCATACCCTCTGTACTCACCTGATCTCTTGCACCATGCGATTTCTTTCTCTTTTACCGCTTGAAAGCAAAGCTACATGGTTGTAGATTTCAGTCGTCCGAGGCGCTCGTCAATGCCACAAGAGACGCCATACGGGAATTTACTGCCAATATGTTTCAGCAATGTTTTCGACAGCTATATCAACGTTGGCAGACTTGCATAGTGGCCAGCAGCAACTATTTTGAGGGCTGATGTGATTTGCATAAGTGTATGTGAATACCTTGTAATATGATGCGATAAAACCACATTCCACAAACTTAATGACTCTACCACATATATTTAATTAAAAAATGATTCATGTTGCTGAAGTCTTCTATTTTCAATTATATTACATCAGTCTGCATGAAAATAATTCATTTGATTCAGCAAGAGATGGCATTTGGGTAAAAGTACAGAAGAAAGTCAGTTGAGTTTAACACTTTGTGAACTGCGCATGCATTAATACGTTTTTCGCTTTTAAACGTGGCGGACTGGTCGCGTATTAATACGTTTTGAGAACACGATAAGTTGCAACACACCATACATCCCTCTGGCGCCACCCAGCTTGCATGTAGCTGCCTGCAGCTGCGTGATAAGCCTCTGGAATGTTTGCTGACTAATCAGTTCCGTGACCTCGCTGTAACTGTATGCCCCTGCAAAGGAAAATAAATGCCTTTGTTTCTTCAAGCTGTCAGTGAGTAGTGCAATATGCGAACATATAATCCTGGGCCTACTTGTTAGTGTAGTTAGTGAAAGCACTTCAGGCTATATTGGAAATTTATAATTTTATTCTGGTGAGGGAAAGAAATTACAAGAAACTATTCTTTCCATTTTGGAACCCTATCTTGATCAAAATTACCATGTCTATCAAGACAATTATTATAACAAAGTGGCAACTGCAGAACACCTACTTTCGAGAAAAGTACGTGTTTGTGGAACAATTAGGGCGAACAGAGGCCTTCCTCCAGATCTGAAAGAGGAATGTAAATCCCTGAAACGTGGTGAAACCACATTCAGGAGGGAGGGGGATATTCTTTTTCAGTCCTGGAAGGATACTCGTGTTGTGAATATGATTTCTATAATTCACAATTTGAGCATGGTTGATGTTCAAAGGAGACATAGACAAGTAACGAAGCCTATTTGTATTTCTGAGTATAATATGTTCATGAAGGGTGTTGATAGAGCCAATCAATACTTGGCCTATTATTCTCTTCCTTGGAAAACAATAAAGTGGACAAAGAAAATTGCCTTGTGGCTTATAAATTGTGCCATTTTCAATTCATTTTTGGTTTTCAAAAATCTAAACCCTCATTCAAAATTGAAATACAAGGCATTTCTGCTGAATGTGGCAAAAGCCTGGGCTACAGACCACATGGTGACGGCGGAACCGGAGGCAGACACAGTCTTAGTGCAACCGGGCCCGTCTACTCTCACCCCACGCAGGCCTCATTTTGACCCCTCTGGGTTACTCTCAGGTGATATGCGGAAACATACCCTTGCAAAAATTTTGAAGAGTGAACATTTCAAGGGGAAGCATCTAGGCACTGCCATGTTTGCACAGTTCACAAGAAAAGGAGTAGGACTGTCTGCATTTCCAAGTTTTGTGTAATGCCACTTCACAGAGGGGAATGTTCCGAGAAACATCACACCCTCAAGCAATTCTAGGAGCATTGGTGTTCTCAAAAATTTTTAGTTCATAAGATTAATTAGGAGATTTTATATTAATTTTTTAAGTGAACAGTGCACAAGTTACGGTAGTAGGTAAAAAAATGGCGGTCCCAAGGGTGATTTAAATATTTAAATTGGCAATGTGTTAAGAGTGAGCTAAAATGAGATTTGTTTTGTTTATTGAGATTTTCAGCAGTCCTGACTGAAGAGTAGTAATGGTAGCTGCTGTAGTACTCTTCAAAGAATGTATGATTCAAACTTGGTGTGGTACCGTTGCCTGAGCAAATTTTAAGACACCAGTAAATAAATATTGCTCCCACATTGTTCTCTGTCACGGTGCACCAGATTTGTACAATTGTGAAGCTAGACATCTTACCGACCGACAGGTCTATTCCGATACTGAATGGGAATTGTTGTCCTAATGTTCCTAGATGGCAGTAAGTGACTTTGACTGACTGCTAAAATGCTGCAGGTCTCGCCATCACAGCTATTCTCGGCTATTCTAGATTCCGAGTCCTACGGGAATCATGACCGATCATGACGATCATGACCATATTTTAGTGTGTGATGACACTAAGACCTTTCCAGTAAGCTAGATGGTAGTTATACGATTGTATATATGTATATTGTCTGTTTGTCAAGGAGTTACATACTGTTAACTACCTTATTAATCCCTGGTTGCGTGCGTGAACAGGATACATTCCTGTCTTTAGTAATCCGCGCACTCAGGGTTTGCCGGGTGGGGGAAGCTAGAAGGGGCGGTCATTGGGGTAGGGTTGGGCACTGAAGCCAATAAAGCAGGCGAAGGCGGAGAAGGTAGAAAGCATACGGCGTTCGGATTGTTTTGGATGCTGTGGTCGGCCTGGTTACAAGCTTTGGATTGCGACTGCTTTTGAAGTTCAGTCATTAAAATGCGTTCTGACTCGGTTCAAGATAGACATCGACCTGGAGTACTGAAACAAGAGAATAAAGCTCATAAGTCTGGCAGACATAGGAGTAAAGGCGCCATTAGTAATGCTGCGAAAGGTACTGTACTGCCCCATTTTGTTTTCTTTGTCAATATGAATATCTGATTTGTGACGTGTGTGTAATGTTCCTAGTATTGCCCATCAGCTTTATGAGCAATATCTATGGCAGTTATTCCGTAGTAGCGGCCTTGGACTTAGTAAGTATTGATCCAACCGTCCACCGAATGAACACAATGGAGTACATTTGGACGCCTGAATTGAGTACGTCGAAATGGCTTTCGAAGGCGTGTTATTAATACAGCTTGGAATATAGAAAGTGAACAGTTCACTGTACTTCTTTGATTTTCATAGCATCTAAGAGATGTACGCTGAACGGCCGATTATAACGCGTGCCAAAGCTCGTGTGTGTTTCAGAGTTCATGATGTATCGACATTACAACTGGCAGCCATCATAAGGGTGGGTCCCTACGAGCGCACAAAATGTGCTCGTTGTAACGACCTATGACGTTGCTGAGGACACCACACAGTTGCAGAATGCGGTGCGTAATTTTTTTTTTGACTGCAATGGAGCCAGAAGAAAACGTAGCATTCGCCTCTCGTTTATTTCTACAACGGACGCATTTTGTGTGCTCGTGTGGCCGCAGCATAACTCGTGGTGAGATATACAGCGTAGTCGAGAAGTTCAGAAATTTATAGGCGAGTACCATGGTTCAAAACAGTGAAAATTATTTTATGATACACAGTATCATGTGGCATCAGATATTTATTTAGACTGAACTGTACATAACAGTCGAGCACTGTTCTCTCAGTGTTGTAGGTTGTTTTTAGTTACTGCTTAAAATGGACATCTGCACATTCCAGGTATATGCTAGTGTGCACTTAATTCTCTGTGCAGCCCATGGAAATGGTGCAGCAGCTGTAAGGTTGGATGCAGATAGTATACTCAGTGTAGAGTTCAAAATCCACGCACATTTCACATTATTGATCAACAAATCAGGAGATTAGTACTATTCCTCCCCCTTATAGTAAATGGAGAAGTGCATACTGATGCACATAGAGGAGCGTCCCTGTACTAGTATTTATTGAATACAAGCTGTGATGTACATGCCAGTGTGTTGGGTTCTCCACGAGCAGTTGCTGTACCCATGCCACTTGCAAGGGGTTCATTCTCTAAGTCCGTTTGATTTTTGTCAGTGGTTCTCTTGGAATTGTGGTGAACATCCCTTCTTTAGCAGCCGTGTACTCTTTACTGGCAAAGCAGATTTCAGAAGAGAGACCATACAAAATTTCCATAACAGGCACATTTGGAGTAACATAAATATTCATAGTATAGTTCAGTCCGGACATTACCAGGAGTTCTCAGTGTCTGGGCTGTTGTTATTGGGGATTGTTTTGTAGGCCTATACATTTTGCCTCATAAACTTAACGGTGCTGCATACTGATGTTTATAAAGCATACTTTTCTGCAGTTACTGGTTGCTCTCCACCTGGATATTTGATGAAACACATGGTTCATGCATGATGGTGCCCTAGCCCATTCCAGTTATACCACCAGAAATTACCTTGGGACTGCCTAAACTGGGTGATGGATAGGAAAGCAGGGTTCGGTATTCTGGCCAAGTTGTTCACTAGACCTGAATCCCCTTGATGTATTTCAGTGTGGACATCTTGAAAGTTTGATGTATGCTTCAACAATGGATATTGCAGAGGAACTGCTGCAGCAGCACTTTCAAAACAGCTTTTCCTTAGTCTGCATCAATTGGCATTTTCATTGTATCTGTCAATCCGTTCATTGTCAGGCCAAAGCTTCTATGGCAGTGCAAGGCCAGTGTTTTGAGCATCTGCATTGTCCTTAATAGTTCTTACAGTTCTTATTNGCTCTGGTGTTTATAGCTTCAGAGCGAAGAAAACACATCATTCATAACAGAAACAGCTCACAATAGCCACAGNTTGACTGCAATGGAGCCAGAAGAAAACGTAGCATTCGCCTCTCGTTTATTTCTACAACGGACGCATTTTGTGTGCTCGTGTGGCCGCAGCATAACTCGTGGTGAGATATACAGCGTAGTCGAGAAGTTCAGAAATTTATAGGCGAGTACCATGGTTCAAAACAGTGAAAATTATTTTATGATACACAGTATCATGTGGCATCAGATATTTATTTAGACTGAACTGTACATAACAGTCGAGCACTGTTCTCTCAGTGTTGTAGGTTGTTTTTAGTTACTGCTTAAANAATACACGTCAAACCACGGCAACGGGTTAAAATGGACATCTGCACATTCCAGGTATATGCTAGTGTGCACTTAATTCTCTGTGCAGCCCATGGAAATGGTGCAGCAGCTGTAAGGTTGGATGCAGATAGTATACTCAGTGTAGAGTTCAAAATCCACGCACATTTCACATTATTGATCAACAAATCAGGAGATTAGTACTATTCCTCCCCCTTATAGTAAATGGAGAAGTGCATACTGATGCACATAGAGGAGCGTCCCTGTACTAGTATTTATTGAATACAAGCTGTGATGTACATGCCAGTGTGTTGGGTTCTCCACGAGCAGTTGCTGTACCCATACCACTTGCAAGGGGTTCATTCTCTAAGTCCGTTTGATTTTTGTCAGTGGTTCTCTTGGAATTGTGGTGAACATCCCTTCTTTAGCAGCCGTGTACTCTTTACTGGCAAAGCAGATTTCAGAAGAGAGACCATACAAAATTTCCATAACAGGCACATTTGGAGTAACATAAATATTCATAGTATAGTTCAGTCCGGACATTACCAGGAGTTCTCAGTGTCTGGGCTGTTGTTATTGGGGATTGTTTTGTAGGCCTATACATTTTGCCTCATAAACTTAACGGTGCTGCATACTGATGTTTATAAAGCATACTTTTCTGCAGTTACTGGTTGCTCTCCACCTGGATATTTGATGAAACACATGGTTCATGCATGATGGTGCCCTAGCCCATTCCAGTTATACCACCAGAAATTACCTTGGGTCTGTCTAAACTGGGTGATGGATAGGAAAGCAGGGTTCGGTATTCTGGCCACGTTGTTCACTGGACCTGAATCCCCTTGATGTATTTCAATGTGGACATCTTGAAAGTTTGATGTATGCTTCAACAATGGATATTGCAGAGGAACTGCTGCAGCAGCACTTTCAAAACAGCTTTTCCTTAGTCTGCATCAATTGGCATTTTCATTGTATCTGTCAATCCGTTCATTGTCAGGCCAAAGCTTCTATGGCAGTGCAAGGCCAGTGTTTTGAGCATCTGCATTGTCCTTAATAGTTCTTACAGTTCTTATTAACTGAACAGAAGTCTTCTTACTGATAGTGTTGTTTGACAGGTTTAAACCCAAGGTGTACTGTCCAGTCACGTTACTAGCCTACTTTTCTTATTTTGAAGAAATGAAAGTAAGCTTATGCAGTCTCAGTGCTGTCTTTTTATCTCCGCATTTAACTTTTGAATGCCTGAACTAATCATTATGAAATCTGGTACATATATCATGCCACCTGAGCCCATCTGAATGGTGTACTTCATAAACTCCTCCCATCAGCCTGTGTGTTTGTGTATCCTCCTCTTGTTACTCAGCAGTGGCTTGGTAGAAATCCCCTTATTGCTAGGCAATGGCTTGTTAAAAATGTTATTGCGACAGTGAATACAAACACAACAACAGGATAACTGTTGGGTGCTTCATTTTCCATGCAGTCCATGTTGTATGAAGGAAAGTAGGCAGTTGGTTCTTCCCAGAACTTCTTGTTTAACTGAAAGTCTAATGTCCTGCTGTTGTAGAGAGCACTGTGGTGACCATGTTTCATTGTTGAATGGGGAAGGTTGTAGTGATAAAAGGCATTAACACGTCACTCAAAACCCCAGTTTCCTTCGAAAGTGTCCCTTGCCTACATTACTTTTGTAACCACAGTTCAAATTGTACTGTTGCCAGAACACCCGAATGACTAGTTTTGTACTGAAAAATTTCTGGACTCATGTTTATAGAAGCTGTTTTCATTAATTAGGGCATATTACTCCTCCACCAATTTTCTGCAACTTATTTTGGGATGTTCTGTATATGGGGATGTTTTGTGTCAAATGGGACACCATGATATGTAGGAGCTGATACCAACATATGTATTAGTATGTGTGTGCTCCACTGGAATAGGTACAGCTCTCATGGAACATGTGTTGCATGATGTCACCACTTGCATCAGTGTGTATGGATGTCAGAACCAGAAACAGGAGGTGAAACTGAATGTGTGGAGGATGCCTGGAATGAAATTGAATGAATTTGTTTAAACGACCTTGACATGTGGAGGACACAAAAATAAGAATGTAATTACCAGGGCCCGGATTTTGATGACCTGAAAATGTTTTAAAATGGCCGAAAAAATCCAGAAAACTGACCTAAAATATGACCCAAAAATGTAATATGCAGGGTGCGGATTTTGATGACCTGAAAATATTTAAAAAATGACTGAAAAAATCCAGAAAAATGACCTAAAGGAGAGAGAGAACACTTCACTTCCATATTATTCACATTTCAGAAAACATATGAAGAAAAATTCCCTAAAATGGCCAAAAAAGGCTAGGAATACCCTTAAAAGTCCAAAAATTGACCAAAAAATTACCCTCAAAATGAAAAAATGACCTTAAACCTAAAAATGTCAAAAAATGACAAAAAAATACCTATAAAATTTACATTTCTGTAACCAGCAGCTCAGATCCAAGATTTATATATTTAAGAGCATTGCATAGGTTACAAGGAAAAAAAGATGACATGTCATCAGAATCCTGACCCTGGTAATTACATAGTTGTACTCATTTATTCACGCAATGTTATTGCTCGTCCTGACGTTACCCAACTGTCAAGCCTTCCAACCCTCTAGGCTTGGGGCTGAGTTAAGCTAGGCATTTGCCCCACACTGAATTAGAAAAAAGAAATTAGAATTGAAAAATGGAAGTTAGTATGTCAAATATTAGTGTCAAAAATTGAAAATATTTTTAAATGTGACACTGGTTGTGTTTTAATATACAGATCCACAACTCAAGGACTGTTCGTAAGAATATTCTGAAGCTGTTTAAATGGAAAGAGTTCCGTCTTCTGGGATGTTACACCATGCAGTCCACTGGAAGCCAGCTGATGTTGTTGTGCTTATCTCGTACTGATTTCTTGCTTGGCTTACTTTTTGACCATGAGGTTGGAGGTGATATGTTCCTTCAGAATATCAGATGGCTTCCCCCAAACTATGGTATATTCCAGAAGGTAGAACTTCATGACCACTATCATGAGAACATCAAATCCAACACAGTGTAAATGTCAGTTTGTAAACAAATTTTCTGGCTGCCCTATCCATCATGGAAATAATCCTGGCAGTGCTCATAACTGTATTTACGGATGAACATCTGTAATTTTTGTACATAGACTTCTGAGATGAATCATGCATGACTGTAAGGAACCTTAAACCTGAATCTGCTGACCACTATGTGCTGAAGTACAAACTGGCATGGTCAGTACATGAAAACATTATATTTAAGCATCCTGTTACACTCTACACAATATATGACACAAACTCCGTCCTAAGTGCAACAATTTATTGTAATTCTTTTGTCTTCCTTTCTTCTACCCTACTTGTTTCGGCCATAAATGGCCATCATCAGGTGTATACTCTTATGTATCTGCTACACTGCACATAGTTTAAAATTTAAAAAATGCCAGTCTTCCCAATTGTTCACTTCTCCATTGGTAACAGGTTTCGATATATCAGAATCCTAACTGCGTGTGTATAACACACGCAGTCACAGGAGCAAGAAACAACACAAAGCACAATACACACACGACAGTGAAAGAGTGCTCCAACAGAAGAGGATAGATGTGACTCGCGTAGTGAGATACGACGTAGGGAAGAAAAAATTCCTGAACAATTTTAATATTTTTAACATTTAACATTTATCAATATATATGATAAATATATATTTTAGTTATTTTAATATGAAGACAAGGCATGCAATGAACTAGTTTAGCGTAAATTGAATAAGCACCTGAAGATGGCACTTTTGTGCCGAAACATGTAGTGCGAGTGAGAGGAGGAGATAGATGAGTGTATGCACTGGAAGACGGTTGAAATAAATCATGGA